GGGCGTTCGTTCTTGGGAGCGCGGGGAATTAGCAAGTCACAGTTTCCTGCTGCCGGAGACCGACCCAGTGGCACTGGCTGTTCGCCTCACTTCTACCGGAATGCAAAATACCTCCCCTGGAAAAGCGTCACGTGGCGGCGGCGTTGGCCCGGCGCGGCCGGAACATCGAAAAGGGGAGGGGGGGGGGCGGGGGAAGGCAGCGACAGCAGCAGCAGCAGCAGCACGAAGTTTGCTCGCGCAAGAGTAAAGTCTTGGCGGAATCCCATTGGTACGCCTGTCGCCGTAACGGCGCGCCGCGCGGAGTCGGCGACCCCCCACATAGCGTAACCGGCGGAGGCTTTACGCGCGTAGGCGGAAAGAGAAAAGAAAAGGATACGCTGAGGATAGAAAAGAGGCAGGCAGGTGGCAAGCTAAAAATACAACAAAAAAGGAAAAATGACACTTTTTATTTTTAGAAAAAAAGGATGAATTTGTGTGTGGGGTTGTGATTCCTGCCGAGTGGGGCGGGGCGGCTCTCAGTCTAATTTGGGCAGCGGGCGCCTCCCCCTTGACACCGTGACACCCCTGATCCTCCCCTCCTCCCGCACACCCCGATCTCTTTCCCTCCCGTTCGTCTCCCGTGTCTCACCTGTTGCTCGGCTCGGCAAGGGCCAGGAGGCGGGCAAACGGGAGGGGAGGGGAGGGGCGGGGCGGGGAGTTCCTCGTGGAGCGCGGGACCCCGGGTGCGTGGCGGGCTGACGGCGACGTGCCACCCCCCGGGGGTCAGCAGCGCCGGTGGTGTTCCGTGGGAAGGGATCAGTCCCCGTCCTGGAGCCGGTGTGTTAGTGGACCCCGCGGCTAGATAAGCCCCTCCCGCCCCGCCCCGCCCCGGAGCCCCATAGGCACGGCCTGGGCCAGGCGCAGCTGGCCCAGCGGCAGGGAATTACAAGCACATGCTTACCGTGTGCGCGATAAATCAGGGAGCACATGCGGCCGCACGGCCAGAGAGACCGGGGCAGGGGCCGGCCCTAAACAGACTCCAAGCTGGGGGGTGGGTCACTTACAGGGTGGGTGTTCCAAGCCTACTCTTTTTCTGGTTATTGTACTGTGCGGCATGCAGAGGCGCGCGCGTGCGGGCTTGCGTATGCTGACTCTCACCACGGCACCTTACGGCCCCGTGCGAGTTTGCTACCCGTCCACACGCCAGCATCCGGTACAGTGCAACTACTAGGAGAAAAGCACGGCTCAGAACACCCGCCACTCTTCACACACTGCTGCCAGTCGAAAAAGATTCCTCTCTTTCAAAGTTTCTTGCAAACAGCCTCAGCCAAGGTGGTGGTAGTGCCCTGCTTGGCAAGGATGAGGTCCAATAGGACTCTCAGAATCGGAAAGAAACCCAGGTGGTGGGTGGTGAGACCGCCCGGATCGACGGGTAAAACTTATAGCGGAATCCCGATTAGGAGAGCAAATATTGGGCCGCTTTGGGCTGGAGGGTTCCTCGTGTAGGTCTTACCCACCGGCTCCAAGACTTGCCCAGCGCGCCAACCACAGCAGTCACAGCCAGCGAACGGGTCAGCAAAAATCAATGAGATTATTTTTCAAAGCAAATATATGTATATTTTTCTGTAGTTAAAAATAAATACATTATCACACAGCTAACTATAAACTATATATGTTACATAATTAATTAATACCCTTTGGTTTTCAGTGCAACATGAATATGGATTTAAGCATAATTTGAGCTAAGCCAGGGCAAGGGCAGTAAGGCTAGATTTAAAAAGTACCGGTAAGTACTGTCTAAAAAAAATGTGGTCCCCAACACATAAAACAGCATAGAAAAAGCAGATACATGAATAATAAAAGAACAACTTGCACACACAGCGCTCCTCAAAAAACACAAAAAAACAACAACATATGTTTACATTTTGAAAAGTGCAACATTTTTTCTTTAGAAATTATCAATTACTGAGTGAAATAGGAATGCAAAGGAGGCTATCTCTAAGATACTTGACGGAAAACTTGCAGTCTTTCTTAAATCGGTTAGCAAATTCACACACTGTTTGCCTCAAAAATCACAGGTGCTTCGATCAATTTTAATCAAAAATATATATAAAGGTTCAGAACTTTAAAACATGAATTATCAAAATCAAGGTCCTAGCACCCTGTTCAGGATTGAAATTAAAAAATAACGCCTGAAAATACAGTTAAGTGATTGTACTAAACCCAGTGGAACATACCTTACTACTCCAAAGATGATAGGAATAGAAAATGATGGAAGACATAAAAAGCAGCCTCAATACAAAATAGGCACTTTATATGCTTGCTCATTGATAGTATTCAAATGTCAGATATGGCACCTGCATGTACAAAATTTACTTTTAACCTCAAAGCCCCGCAGTTAAATTAGACAACAACCGTTAATGTACTGTAAAGTAATCAAGCAGTGTGTCACTCGTATATACTAGTATTGGGAACAAAATGGCTTCAGTTCTAAACAAAGAATCCAATGCTTGAAAGGAAACTTGCAGACTTGTTGACACACTCATATCTTACACTCTTATCAATGTTTGGCATCTGAACATACTAAGACATTTTAATGGTGTCAAATTCCTACAATTATGTAATCAATCAAATCAAAATAATATGCAGAAAATAATTCCTGACCCATAAATCTAATCATCTTTAAGGCCAAGCTGCTTTGAAACTACTAACTAAAAATAGGCATTCAGGTAAATATTTGACAATGATTAAGTCAACAAAATGAGTGTGACTTTTTCTGCCTGCAGGAAAAGTCGCAAAGCAAAGAATGTACATTTAAAATACACATGTTTACCTACATATTTATGTACTTTCACCAAATTCTTAGTTTCAAATCTTCATTAAAATAAACATTTACAAAAGCATGGTCTCGAATATCACAATTTAAGTCAGCAAATTTTAGCCTTTCTGGACATCCAAAATAGTATACATACTTCAAATGCAAAATTGCAGAATGATTATTAAAAAAACATGGGATAGTACTTCACAGTATATAAAAAATATCATGTCAACATTAAGAATCACAGTTTCTTGCTTGAAAGATTCTCCAAAATTGGTCTCAAGTCTTCTTCTTTCTCTTTCTCCTGAGATGGCGGTAATCGCTTTTTAATATGGCGATTAATAACACCATTTTCATCATCCATCATTCTTATTATTTGAAGCTGGTCAGATGATTCAAGTGGTGCAACAGATATATCTCTTACAGCTCGAAATTTACCACAATTGTTCAAATGCTCGTTTTCCAATCGAAAAAAGTTCCATACAAAACGTCTGGAAAAGTGGAAAATTAGTTTAGCCAATGTCAAAGTTCACAATAAGAAATGACATGTGTAATAATCATAATTTTAGGAAACTTTACCTGAATACCTCCAAGGGTGCAATTATACATTGCATAGCTTCCCCCCGTATGTACTTAGATTCAGTGAGGAAAAAACCCAATGCCCAAATCCAACGGAGGACAAAATCCTCAACAATCGCGAAGTAATAAAATGTCTGCAATAGAAAATCATCAAATTACAATTGATTTCTACAATTTTTCAAAGGTAAGGTTCACTTTTGTTTGGAAACTTACATTTGAAGAATAAACAGTTTCTTCTCTTAAAAATTTATTGTCACCTTGAATGGTGTCAAAGAAACCCCAATCCATTTTTACATCCCAGGCATAAGTATAGCAGGAGTTGACAATACAAGACAACAGCCAAGGATAAAAGTAAGGGTTGTCTAAAGTATTAGGATAGCTGCCTGTCAAACAAGAATAATAAAAAATAGTACCATTGGGAATACACTTAAAGATTCTTCTTATTTGGATATTACTTACTGGCATGGTATGCTCTTAGGGTTGAAAAGATTACAACAAAGAATGTTGTAGAGTATTTTCCAGCATTAACAAGATGAGGGAAAGCCTCTTTGCTGTCCCGATATCGTCGCAAGCACTGAGCAAATCGTATCCATGCAGGAATGCAATTGACAATAGGCTTGGTGATAAATGATTGTTCAGCACACTGACTTGTGTCTGAAAAAAAAAATTACAAGTGGAGAGAACAGGACCAAACTGCACACCATGTGGACCAAAATTATTAACAAGTCAACTGTTTCTTACCTCCTGCTTCAAGCCAACTTGGAGTTGTGAAGTAAAAGCAAACGAGGAAGTGGAAGTCTACCAAAACCGTGGCCAAGCTGTTTAGTTGATCAGCAAGCCAGAAATCAGCAAAGCCAACAGAGAAAAATGGAGCTGCCAGCATTCTTCCCTGGGAAGAGATAAAATAAAATAGGAATTGTGAACATTGGTTGACAGAATTAATTTAGCTAAATCAGTACATCTTTGCTTGTAATGGAAAACATACCAGAACACGCAAAAACCAGAAGCGAGCTTCATGGCGGAAAGTATGCAATGGATTCAGAGCAAATGCAAACATGATAAGTACAAGAGCAAGAGGGTTGACGTAGGGGGGAATAGATAAAGCAGATGCATAAAGGAATGAGAGCACACTAAGAGCTCCCACAACTCCTAACACTGCGGCCATCTCCATAATATGTTGTTCTGTCAGATGATGACGAGGATCCAGTTCAAAGATTAACACATGGTTGACGCCTGAAGATCTCCATCCATAGACATTGACCCCCATCAAGAACATGAACTCAACAAGCAAAAGTGGTCCTCTGTATAGCCGCATTAGGACATCCATCTTTTCTGTTCCTTCATGAAAAATAGCTGTAAAAAACAAAGAAAATGTTAAACTTATATATGTATGATAATCAAAATTATTACAGTGGAGGCTTTGCTTAAAGTTAACAATACAATACCAGAGAGGATGACAACAGTTAAGAGAATGATAAAGGATCCGGAGAACAGCCCCACTTTAAAAGTAATCCAAGGGCTTTGTTTTTCCCCAAGAGGTGGCACCCTTAATCTTTTCATTGCCTTCTGACGATCACCACCTTCCAGTTCTGAAGTGACAGCACCCTCAGTTTCATTAACCAAACGCCCAACATCTTTATTGGTAAAGAAATGAGATGTCTCAACATGCTCCACACGCCATGCAGTTCCCGAGTCAACAGAGAGCAGCTACACATACAGAACACATACAAATTGAAAGAAGTTTTACATAAAATCACACTACGAAAAATCACTCAAAGCATACATTAATTTTTACATAAAAAAAAGTCCCAATTACCTTGTCATGTTTCTTCAAAATTTTTCTGAACCCTGTGTAGTTGAGATTTTGATAGTTTTGTAGAAGCACCAAGCTCAAATAAAATTCACTAAATGCAAGCTTAAGGTCTTGCACTTTCCGTGCAGGACGTTTTCCTTTGGATTTCTCTCTTTCTTGCAAGGCCAGCTGTAATTCACTGCTCAAGGTGGCATGTTTTCGAGTAGCTTCCGCTAATTTTTCTATGAGATAAATGTATTTAAATTTAAAAGGGTTCAAAACACCTATTAGGTGAACTATAAAATGCTGACAGTCATTTACCTGAATAGAATGTGTTTATTTTTTTCAGCTCTTTGTCACAGTATTGGAAGAAAACTTCATCGAAGTTTGTGAAGTGTCTTGCTATCATCTCAGGACCAACTGACTCTGCTGATGGTGCTTCCTCTACAGCTGTGTACAGCATAGCTTTCATTTCCTGTTGAAGACATTCCTAGTAAAATATGTTCGTACCAAAATATTTTTTTAAAACTTTAAAAATTACCTCATAGTTAATATACTGCTTCCTCCACTCCGGCGTAATGTGGGCTAAAAGATGTTCTGCAAACTTCATGGTTGCTTATTTAAGAACGACGTTACTGTGCTGAAATAGTAAAAGTAAAAATAAAAGTCAGCACAAAAGTTGCGAGTGTGATTGATTTGAATAGAAGTTCAGGTTTAATTTTAAATGGCAGAGATTATTCTTCTGTCTAAAACACTACCCACTATCATACACATAACAGGTGGTTAAGTGTAAAGAAAGGAATGTCATTCATTGTTTGTCTATTAGAAGAAGGTGAGGGAAAATGTGGAACCGCTCCGTGTCGAAACAGTGCATTAGAGAGGGGTGCCAGTGGAAAGAAGGGCCCTGAAAACCAGCCAACCCTTTGCCTTATCAACTTGACGAGTACCAAGTCATGTGCAGGGGGTGATCACGAAGGCGGACCACAACTAACCTGACCGATAAACAAAGAGAAACCCCGCACGGCGGCCTCTCACATTCAGTCCGAATGAATGGGGAAAGTCGAGTCGGGAAGGTTACCCCGACGGAGACACGGGCAGAAAACAACAGGCTCACCTCATAAAACAAACGCGACCACAGTTTCGGACTTTGAAAAAAACTACAGCGCGACATGGATGATCCGCTGACTACCTCGGTACTTTCTGCTTCATTTTCTGTTCTGCTAGGCACAGCACAAACAGCAAGTACCACCCGCGGGCGCTAACCTACCGGGCGGACGGCGCGGCTGGTGGCGGAGCTCTCGCGCTGGCGCAGCTGGCGCCCGCATCTGATGCGCAGCGAGGGTCTTTGCGTGTTGCAGATCCCTAACTAGCCGCTCGCCGCATCTTTTCCCCCGCGGCTTTACGTCTCGCAGCGACGACGATAAGTTGGCCAACTGATAATGAATGTAAACAACGACCCGTCCCGTCGGCGCGAAGTCCCGATTGGACGTGCCCCCTCCACACGGTCCCGCGGCACTACTCCACGCGCTCGCGCTGCCGGCGCGGGGTAGGCGCGCGCGCTGCACGTGTGTTGCACGTGTGGTGTGCATTAGGTGCACTGTTGCTCGTGTGTTGCACGTGTGGCGTGCGCGCCAAGTGCGTTGTCGCGTCGTCGTGTTCTCACCGCCAGGCACTCGAGGCCATCCTAGAAAAGTGCCAATCTCAATGTTTTGTTGTTTACACTTTTGAAGACAACACACGAACATTTTGGGGACTGTAACTGACATCGGGATCGGCAGCCGGACAATCCGGGGGCAGCTTTCCGACCGTCCTCCAGCACGCCCTCCAGGTCGTGCGAGAGCTCCAGCAGGCTATTTCCGACTTCCGGTTTCAATCTTGGACACTGGATCCTAGATTTGAATGTTTTGTGTACCTTTTCTTCGGCGGACAAAACATCAACAGCCTAGGGACATTGTCCGAGAGCGCGGGGCCGGAAGTTCAAAAGTCCGGGAACTCTTCGCCAATGACCCTCCTTGGGGGTGGAGAGGAGGCGTGGGAGGGGGTGGTGAGATCTCACCAACAAGACTCGCCTAGTCGGGCGGGGCCGGCGGGCCGGCGGGCCGGCGGGGCGCGCGCGGGGTAGGTATTTCAGGCCGGCGGGCGGGCGGCCAGTCGGAGATCGGACGGCACGGCCGGTCCCACACCTCTCTCCCGTCCTGGGCCCGCGCGCACGCCCGCGAAGCATCGCGAACAGCGCGCGCGCATCCAGAAGTGCGCCCGCGAGAGCGAGCGAGCGAGCGAGAAAGAAAGAGCGAGCAAAGCGAGAGAAAGGGGTGTGTTTTACATAAGTTGGTAAGTGTCCGGGCCTGCTATGGCTGTTGTCTTATCGAGCCGCGATGGTGCAAGGATAACTCTGGCCTCCCCCTCCCCC